GATATTTAGATAATTATCGGGAATCGTAATAAAAAAATAAAAATAAGAATAATCGAAATTATATAAAGAAATCTATATTATCAAAATCTATCAAGAAAAATTCGCAGCTAAAAGATCTGCGCGACGGACTACCATATATTTAGATATTCATTCGACACAAACCAAAATATATCTATAATTCGGCACAATTCTACAATTAATAAATATTAAAATATGATTCGATCCAATTATTTATATATATATATTAATCTAATTTCAATATCATCATTAAATATATTAGGATATATATATAATTTTCAATTTATATTTGTAACATATTTAATATAAATATTGTATTAAACAAAAAGAAAATATAAAATATATGCATTATTCATATAAATATCCAATATATATATATATATTTATATATTTTAATAATACTTAAATATTTTTCGTTTTTTTAATTTCATCTTCCAGCTATCTCCTCGGATAGCCCGTGTTGGGCCGCAGGCAGCTAAGAGCCCGGACACGCCTGGAGTGTCGAAGCGCCAACTCGAATCCAAAGGTCATGGAGATCAAAATTTAGGCAAAACGAACACCCAATAAATCAACGAAATTGTGCGCCGGCATAGGAAGAGGCTTCTTCCAGGCTGAATTGACCAGGCGAGACGGAACAAGCCAAATTAGATAGATGGTGCTATGAATCACCGGATCAACTCCTAAGGGCATGGGTGCTCGAAAATCGTCACACTCCAAGGCTGTGCCACTGTGCCATAGGATGCTTTTGTAATGGCCAACATTAGGCGTGGCACCGTCATGGATCATTCCAGCTGCCACGAAATAATCATACCATTCCACTGCAAGGCCTTGGGAATCATGGAACACCGGCACACGAAGGGGAACACGACGATCCCATTCAATCACACAAGTGCTCTTGACTCCCACTGAAGGAAAACATGAGATCTGAAGACAAATCCATGGTGAATCATGCGAAAAGGCGTGGACAAAGGCCTATTGGTGCCAAATTTGAACCAATTGTTGAAGAATTATGAATCTATGAGATGGACAGGCCAATGGTACCGGGACAAAAATCGAAGTATACTCCTCAATGGAAGTGTCTGTTCGAGAGGACCATCCGGCCTGCATATACAGCGGCATTATTTTCTCCAGCAATTTCTATCTAAATCACCCCGCAAATTCCCCCGCATCCTGTTGGTCCTGGACCGGGTATTGAACATACCAATCTTTCAAAAATCGATCCAAGAAACTATCATCACACGGGTCAACGACATCCCCGGCATGATGTACAAATATGTTTAATATTTATCGTTCCCATGGACCCCAAATGGCTGTATTGAAGGCCTGGCTCATGCAGCTCCAAACCTGTGCCACCAAAATGCTATTGACATAGCAAATCGTCCCTGAATTGGCCAAATGGGTAGCCAACACCAACCGGATCATCTCTTCAAGTCTTCAATCGTTGGGAGATTGCATTGGCTAACGGCGATCGATGAAGGTTGGCCGGTCGTATTCGCAAGAGGATGAGTTGCGTGATGCCACATCCTGACAGCTTCTGAAGATGTTGGAAGAGCTCCGAGGCCTCCGTTGAACGAAGGCTTAGGTCCAATCTCCAAGGGATTGCCACAGCAACGTCCTGCGGGAGATTCTCCTGATTGATTTGCCTGAGGGCCGAAAACTTGTGGATGACCCCTGCTGTTGCCTAAGGTGTGCAATCCGTTCCAATAACGTCCTGATTTTCTCCGAGGTCAAAGGTGGAATCTTGTTGGGTTTCAGCATCTGAGCCTGAGGATCCCACGACAAGTAGGCCCACTTCAATTCGTCGGTACAGATTCCTTGGCTCTTGAGGTTCTGAATCAAGGCGTCGTCGTTTGCCTCCAAATTCAACTTGAGAGTTCTTTGGGCCAACTCCTGGAAGCAATGTAGGGAAAGAGTCGACCTCAATGGGACAGATGCGTCTCCACTTTGTTTGAGGACATTCTAATCCCTGGCCTTGGCCAACATGCTGGGCATGATGTTTCTTCGACCGCATTGGAGGAAGAACATGTAGCTCTTGTCCAATCCCAATTGAGCTAGGGCATCCTCCTGCCTGAGAGACAATCTTGCAATCATATTCAGTAGCTCGTCGTTGCCGCCACTCGACGTTGAGGCCCAAGAGGGCGAGGATCGAGGCATTGAACCCCGGCCACGTCTGTTCTGGCCATTGGATATCACCGTGCGCGGTCTTTTGCCTTGATTGCCGATGTGTTGATTGCAGGCCTCCAACAAATCGAAAAAATTCTGATCGTCTGCGTGCATCTCCTCGCCCATCATAACGATTGGATTGACACCACAATGTCCAGTCTTGGGCCGGTGCGTGCTCGATGGAATGCAAGGCTGAATGCAAATCCGTCAATTGGTCACGAAGGTATTCAGGCATATTGATTGGCAAAACATCTGTTGGGGTCGGTTCCATTGAATGCCAGGCCCACGATAGAGGATGCAACTCATGGAGATAGGCCAGGCTGAAAACAGAATCCGGTGGCAGGTTGGATAACGGCATATCCGGGTGGGGGGCAATCTGAGTCAATGTATCATGGAACCACTTCAATTTGGCTTCAGGATCGAATGGAACCATTGACTTCATGTCATGCCTGGGGGTATGAATCAGGGCTTGAGCAGCCTCCGGGATCCAATTCGACATATTCTCAGGGATTGACAGTCCAGGGCACCAACGATGCAGAGTCAGGTTCCGGGCATCAGACATGCTCTGGTTCTCCTGAGGACAGGACGAATCAAACGGCTTACCGAAATGTTGATGGCTCGTCCAGGTGCACAAGAGGACAGGTCGTTGGAAATGGGTGCGAAGTTCAATTTCCATGGAAAAAGAGGCGTGGCAATGTTTGCATGCTAAGTGCCCCGGATGCATATCGATTTGTGGCTCAAATGGAAAATCATCGGGGCGGGAAATATCATGGTCTACGGATTCTTTGCACAAGGGACAGGGGTATATTCGAGCCGGGATTGGACATGGACCATCCGGTCGACAGGCCACTGTGCTCCGGACGTGTCGAAGGAGGCGCACCTGAAACCTCAGAGCGTTCAACGGAGGCATGCAGAGGAAATTTGATATATTGAGTATATTATGTATATATATATATATTCAAATTCGTCTTAAATCAAATAATAAAAATAATTCAATATATAATTATTTAATATTGAAAGAAAAAAATATATATATTTATATTCAATCTATAAAGGATTTACATGTGATTTGGGGTCAAATATATTTAATTCTGGGTCTGATTTCTGGATTTGATATTTGTTGATATTTCTATGATGGAATGATAATAATAATTTTTTTGATTTATGGATATCAATAAATTAATTAATTTCAAATATCTGAATATTTCTAATTTACAACAAAAAATTAATATTAAAATAATAGAATGATCATTATATTTATCAAAATATGATAGTATCTTTTCCCTTGATATCATATATATTTCAAAATACTATCCTGAATAAATATTCCTTCCCACCCAGGTGATATTTTTTGCGGCTTTGGATATTGGGATTGTTATCACCTAAATATATATATTGAGGTCATAGAATTCAATGATTTTACCATCCCATTGATTTAGGGGATCGAAACATATAGATTTCGATAATTTTCATTCGAAAATTATCTAAATCCGGGATTTCCAGAATGAAATCGATTATCCCGGAATCAATTTGCACGAAAAAATATCATAAATTCTTACTATATCTGCAGAATATATTGCATATAAATTATATTTCAATTACAGAAATCAATATCCAAAAATTAAATATAAATTTCTATGGTAATAATCGAAATCCTAAAATATAAAATTATTAATTTAAATTTATAAAAATCGATATAATAAAATGGTATTTTAATTTCTACAAAAATTCCAAGAAATTTCAATCCTAAGAATTAGATTTAGATTAATATTAAATATTATGAATTCGGTGATTACCATATAATATATTTTTTTTTTTATAATTCTACCTTAATAATATATTAAACTATATAATATTATATCAATATTTAAGTTATATTCATTTATTATATATAATCAAATCAAATTCAATAATATTTCAATATATATTTCATAAATAATCATAATATTATATCATTCAATTTCAATAATATTTAATACAAAAAATTAATTAATATATATTAATATTTATCAATATATAATAAGATATACAACAAACAATATTTTTCATAATATTTATCAATAATAATGTATAATATTTATTCTTTCCCCCCCCCAAAAAAAATCAATCAAATAACCTAATTCCAAATCCCACATATTTAATCCCAAATTCCATATAGATCCTTTATAAATATATTTATAAAACTAATTATCTAAATATAAAATAGAATAGATTAATAATCGATCAATTTCAATTAAATATATAATTAATATTAAATATAACTAAAATTATGAATATTCATTATATATATATATAATATTCTATTAATAAAAATATAGTAGATTTAAATTTTCTTATTAAATCTATATTATATAATTGATTTTGCTTAGCCGAAGGCACCTCCAATGAATCTATGAGCTACTTTGGTGGTGTAGGAATGCAACGAAAATCCTCTAGATATTGGTCAGATTCATTCAATGAAGGCATTTGTTGTTCTGTTCAGCGATCATCTTCGTGATCTTTGCCGAGCACGTTAAAATTGGGGACCAGCCTTCAATGCAAATGAATCTGCAAACTGTACAATTGAGCGGTGAAACTGATGTGGGCCTCGCAGCCTTACAAGAATGTCACCTGGTCATGACTTCCCCCAAATGTCCCTCTGCAATGTGAAGTCTGTTCTCTGGAGGCGATTTTGTTGTTTGGAGCTCCTTTGCCACCAACCCATGTCCCTATTCAAACTAAAATACATTTGTTGCCCTTCACTTGCCTGAGACTTGAAAACAGTTTGAACTCTCAAACACAATCAAAAAACTAGATAACAACTTTGGAAACCTATCTTCTAGCCACCAGAATACCAATTAAACACAGAAATCCTTCTGAGAATGCAACATGGCCCACTCCAATATGCGGCTTCAGAGAATCCCTGCCACGGCAGCAGGGCGAGTGATCAGAAACATCGTACCCGAAAGCTCTCAGGGATGATGAAGGGCGTGATTTGAAAGCTCAACCAACTCAACCTTTGACACGACAGCAATATTTGTGATTTGCAGTGTGCCATCTTCCTTATGCTTCTAGAAGGAGCGTGTACACACGTTCAACTCCAAATTGTTGTAACATTGTACACAGGAATTAAGCAAACTTTTAAAGTGATTGACGCCTTTCGTCTAACCTTTCGTCTAAACTGATTGGGGTCTCCACAAATGGCCGTCTCGTTTGGGTCTCCGCCGTCGTTGACTGACGGCTGAAGCATGCTGAAGGACCCTCGTTGTACATGAAGGACCTCATCTTGACGGCCATTGACGGCCTAAAGAAAACCGCCCACAAAGGCTGAATATGACACCAGAGGTGGTCTAAGACGTCTAAGACTAAGACTATTCATTGGGTATATCAATCCTATGACCAGCGACACCAGGACCATGATGGTTAGGTTGCAGGCCCTTCCCTCAAATAGTGATCATTGATGATAATTTTTTGCTGACTGCTAAAGGTAATAGCACAGACCCAAACTATTCACTATTCGTTCCAAGTATTTACTATTAGCCCCATCTTCACTCCCAACGGTCACACGTGTTGTCAACATCCTGGATGCCTTGTTTGGACAATAAATACCCCTGCTGGACCTTCACACAAAACACGCCCTCTGAGAGGTATTTGAAATGGGTTTAGCTAAATACCTTTCGAGGAGGTACTAGGGCCCACCAAACGGGCTCTGCACTGACCAAGCACGTCCATCTCCGACTCCTCCGATCGGCGCCCATCGGCTCACGCCTCGCGCCGGACACTGTCCGCCTCGGGAATTCGCGCCGATCGGTCCAACCGACCGTTGCGCCGAGCTCGCGGCGTGGTGTGCTCCAGCTGAGCGGGAGATGCATGTGCAAAGCTTCTTTGGATGGATTTGTGAAGTGTATTTTGCCACACGTGAAGCTGGGCAGCATGCTAGTGGCAGGCGCTGGTTTACATGACGACACTTGAGGCCAGAGGGGGTGAACGAAAGCTAGCCGGGCTTCCGGTGGTCTGCTGCTGGTGCTGCTGCTGCTGGTGCTGCTGCGCTGGGTGCTCTGCAGGCGCCGGGTCGTCTGCTGCTGCTGCTGCTGGCGCTGGGTGGTCTGCTGCGGCTGCTGCTGCCGCGGCGTTGGGTATGCTGCTGCTGCTGCTGCCGCTGCTGCGCTGGGCGCTGCAGATGCTTGGTGTGCTGCAGCTGCTTGGTGGTCCCGCTCACCGCGCGCAGGGGGGAGTCGAACCGCGGGGGGGGGGGGGTCCATAAGATTGATTTAATCAATTATTTGAGGTTTCTGAGATGCGTCCACCCCGTCACTTAACTTGCTAAAGCAAGAGCAACTCCAGCTAGCTAAGGCTAGCTTTCGTGATGAGAAAGGAGATCATTCGCGGTAATTGATGGTTGATGGATGGCAACCATGCTAAAGGGTATAGGAAATATATGGAAATATAAAATATACAACATGGTGGGCAACCTGTCGTGGTGTCAACCGCTTCGTCATCTAGCTAGGTGGTGATGTTGAAACCCCTGCAAAAAGGTTCCTTGTTCTACCAATTCATGTTCTACTTATTCTGTTCTTCCTACAAATGCTTCACGCGGCCTTGGCTAGTTCGAGTGGCAATAGACTAGTCCACAGTGTTGGTTGACACAAGAATCACAATGTAATTTGTCGGATCTGATTCCTTGCATGATGCTTGATGCCTTGAGATCGATTTTCATACTATGAGCTGAAGAACTGTCAGTCATGCAATTGACACCTCAATTGATCTGAAAGTATGCTGATTCTGCTACTATTCTGACACATGGCCTAATCTAACGAAGCGTGCAACATGATCATGATGACGCGCATTGATCGGAGAGGTAAAAAGCCACCAGGTTTGGAAGCAAAATCAAGAGGGGTCATGAAGGTCATATGGCTGAGTTGTCTAAAGAACGCCAGGTTACTGCATGTGTGTCACCGCCAGTGCAATGAAGCTTTTAGGTGAGAATTAGAGCCAAAGCCCATTCAAGCCAAGAAAGCTTGCTCTGTCTACTTGCTTTAGAACAAACACATTCCTTGATGGAATAGCCCGTGTAAAAGGCACCATGAGGTGGTGAAGATGACAACAGGCACAGAGTACAACTATATGATATATATATATAATTACAAAGCTCCTTTGCCAAAGAAATGCAACATGAAAAAAGGAACACCAAAAATAGATAAATGCAAGTTGATAAACTCCACTACAAACCTTCAAATCCAAAAACGTATTGTTGGCGAACCCTCATCCCATCCTGACCTTTCCTCCTCAACCCTTCCAATCTCACTCAGCTGAGTGCCAACGCATCCTCATCATTCGGCCAGGAGATGATAAACAACGGGACCGACCTCACGCCACAAACGAGTATGTCACCATTCTGTTGAGACCACATGATACATGTCAGCAAAGAGGAGAAAGTTCAAGAATTGGAAATACTAATTGGAATATTGGTATTGGAAGATCGTCAATTTGAAGAAACAAACGATGATAATCCGATGATACTCGATAGGAAACCCGAGTCACCGGAGGCCATGATTCTGAGTTTTGGGCTGTTTGATTTGGGGCGATGTGGTTGTTTCGAGCCATCTAGAGAGGCATTTTGGAGGGGAAACATATCCGGTAGCGCCGAACGAAACCGTGTTGTTCTGACATGCAAGTGATATGCCAGAACCTATATGGTCAGAAATCAATCCAACGCCGAGCAAAGAGAATTGATGTATGTGGATGTCAAGGAGTCTTTGTCGAGGTGGTTTACCTAGAACTGAGCTTAAACTCTGCCAACCAGTGACGGGAGGGCTGTTGAAATGCTTTGGACCGGCTAAAGGACGGAGCCACAAGTCCCAGCTTTCATGATGAGATGAACACTCTCCCAATCGATAGGGTCTGAGCATGTCTGAGCTCTAAAGAATTCTTGAAGGAAAATACCAACAGAAACTCGAAAGAGAGGTAGACATCAGTGTGGACATCTAGCAGTCTAGGCCTTTTTCATGACTCCAAAGTTGACACGAGTCACACACGGTCTCCCCCCCAAAGACTCATTTTGGGGACCATCGATTAATTCTTCACCCAAAAACAATTTACAGTATATATTTGGGGATCTCAACACTTTTCACATCTCATTCCGACTGAACTGTCGAAGCAAACCGTCGAAGGCCCGTCATGGCCACACAACACCCAGGGGCATTTCGCATCTCCTTTCTTGGCCCCATGGCGAATAAGCTGGCGATGTAGGTAAATTCCAAGACCAACACCATCCTGGAGTCTTCGTTTCTGAGAGTGCGAGCATGCAAGGTACTTCCTTTCATGAATTGAACTGTATGCAGTTAGGCTCAGGCTCAAACCGCTGTAGCTATCTTTGGTGAAGCCCTTTTATCTTGTGCAGCGACCCCAGGCAAATGAAACAAGAAACAACATTAGAACATGAAATGTGACAAACATTGAGAAACTGGAAGCAATTCCTATCTTGACTGACTCATTCTCAGTTCCTAGGTTCCACGAATCCCTCCGGATCGGATCGCTCCGCTCCACTCGCCTCCAGGGCGAGCAAAAGAAGGCGGCGGCTAAAGCACCCAAAACACCCGCCAGCTTCAGCATCCCCTCAGGGCGAGTGTCTCGGTATAGATCCAATCCCACCGGAAGAGACCTGATAGACCTGACAGACCTCTACTTCATCTAACCAGCCAAAATAGGGTCCAGCTTCGCAAAAACAGAGGTCATGTCTGGGCTTATAGGTATGGAAGATATGCCTACATCGATTGACTCCCTGTTCAACCAGCTCCAAAGCATGTAACGCTTCCAATAAATCTGAATCTATGCCAAAACCAGAATTTCGGACGAATAGTAACTCAAATTTGATCAGAATTGTCTACAAATTTGATCAGAATTGTCTACACACTTTGAACTTGAAATTAAATATGACCTGCAGTCACATGTTTCGGAACTTCTTCAATCTATCAGGCGGTCTCGTCTCTATGCTCCTTTGGAGTTCGGTGTTCCAGTGAAATGTCACTTACGTTTCAGAAGATGATTGATCTGGGAATTGCAGCGGGTGCTGGCACACCAGATGCCCAGGCTTCTCACTTAAGTCTGCCCTCAGCAACACACTCCGCGCAACACTCCGTGTGTGGCCGTCGAGCAACGGCAAAGCTCAAATCGGGCGCGAACAAAAATATCCCAAAAGAAGCTCCCAGCACTGGTAAGCAGGTCATATGCATGTGTAATGAACATGTTTCACTTTCATTCAAGACCATGCCGTTATACATGCCCATGTTAGCATCATGTACAACAGCATGTTCACATGGTTGGAAGAGCTCTTCCTTCCGCGTCCAACGATGCATGGAACGATGCTCGCCTGACCTCCGGGTCGATCGACCGAAACCCCGTCCCACGCCTCCCAAGGTGAGCGAATGCGCAGGTGCGACGCCTGGGGTGTCCGGACGCATCCGGAAGCAGTCCCCTTTCGGTGTGGGGTGATGAGGGGGTGGGAAAACAAAGGCACACAAGGTCCAATCCATCTAGCAGGTGTCATGATTCAAGATCTGAGATTTGATGCTCAACCCTTCTGAGAGTATCTTGAACATGCCCACGCCATATGCCGAAGTTGATACGTTTGTCATACGTGTTGCCGCTTGGGAGAGAATTCAGTCCTTCGCGTCAAAACCGCCGCCTTCTTGGGATCTCTCATGAACATCTTCGAGCCTCACAACGGCCAGGTACGAAGGTTTGGCTTTCCCAGCAATGGCTGACAGGGCGAGCTGGTGCGAACGTCCTCAAAAAAGCCCAGCTGTGAAGTTACCCCAGACAACGATGTGAACCTATGTGAACTGACTAGCAGAGTGTTACGACTTCGTAGGGAATGAGTGAACCAGCCACCCTCATGAATAACAAGTCGCAACTGACTCTCGTAGTATACTGTAAGTGGCGATTCTGCAGTCGACCAAACTCGTCATCGGCAGAGCAAACTCAGCGCCAAAAGCCGTCGTCTCGTGGTGCAGAAGTGTCTCGTCACCAGGAAAGCAGGGCGACTGTCTCACCCAGAAACCTTTACTTTTAGGCCAATCTTTCAGGTTTTCCAAAACAGTGAAATCCTCAGCAAAGGAGAAACCCCCACATATCTGAAAACCTACTCCATGTGGAACCCCAACCTCAAGGCTACAGAAAGAAGCACCAACGTGTTGAAACAAATTGAATCGTCTGCATGCTGCGGTTCCATACCCACTCCATTTCCATCTCTCTAAAACCTCTCCGCTTCAAAGAAATGGTTCAGTGAGTTTCACCGGTGAGCTGTTGAGAGCGGCGTAAGCTGGGCGCTCCCTGCTGAGGGTCTTCAAATGTGAGACCATCAGGAACGCCGAGATCAAAAGCACCGAAATCGCCACCTGCGAACGACGCGACGCCTCGCCGCCTCGCCTCGTCCACCGGAGAGTTCACCCTTTGAACGTCCTTTCTGAAAAAAAACAGTTCCAAACGGAAGTCCACCAAAGGCTCCCTATCCCAGACCATCCATGTCTGGATTGTATGCCTACATTGATACCTGAAAACACCCCAATCTAGGTAAATAGGTCACACATGGATGCACATGGAGTGTCTGGGTGTGTTGCTTTGGAAGGATTTGGGCCACAAAACGTCACAAAACACTCCTATCTCGGATCTTCGAATCTTGACGAAGCAAGCTGCGGGGAGCCGATGAAGGAGCTGAGCTGAGCTGAGCTGACATACTCATCATGCTGGGTTCACATACTCCTCTGCCGCACACCTCTGTGAGTGATCATTATTATACAATGATCTCATGAATGTCATGGTCACGCTTTTGAAGGTTCCATGTGTTCGACGGTGTTCCAGCCTGATGCACCTTCCAGCCAAAGGGAATTCCATTGGAATCCAGCTGCCAAAAGAGAGGCAGCCTGGCTGGCAGCTTCGACTTGTTCCGCCGTGGTCAGGACGCAAGTAGACCGGGGAGCCACCGGGTGTTTTCTTAAGGTCCCGAACTACCAGCCTTGGTGCGTCCCTACCCATGGGAGAAGAAGTCCATGTCTTGATGAGCTCACAATAGCTCCCATGTCTTGAAATGGGCAGAATGCCCAACTCCCAAAAAATAAGAGGACAAGATGGACATGGACGTGTGAGGTGATGCCCAACTCCCCGTCTTTCTCAAAAACAAGAGGTGAAGCCCAACCGCCAAATCTCATCCTCACTTGACGCTGCCCCCGTGACAGCATTGTAGCATCCTAGCGTCTGCCACGGCCCACAGTGGTTTCGCTACGACGACCATGTGACCTAGCGTGCCTAGCGTGGTGAGCTCAGCCTTCAGTATCTTTCAGTCTGAACCCTGGCTAGAACTGCTTGACCACCTGTGCAACACGTTCTGTTGATCACCTGACAACATTCAGCTGAGCTATATCTGGGGGGAGACCTCCAACGAATGGATAGGTGGATCTATTTTCCAAAGCTTCAATGGGATCGGTCTCCATCTTGGAACATCTTGGAACAGTGGAGCTACCCGCTACCCGAAGGCTGGGGTTCACCGGAAGTCAAGACGTGTGGGCAGCACAAGGCCAGCATGGCGCCCATGGGTGCCGGGACCTCATTCCGAGATGCACATTGGTTAGGGGTTGCGTTCGATGACCCTGAAAAAGATTTCCAGACATGGTTCAAAAAGATCATATAAACAATAAACAGCTATTATGGCATCCATCGAGTTGTCCCCTGGAATAATGATTTAACTTTTCAGTGCATCCCCTTATCAAATTGGACAAAGATTTGACAGAGATTTCCACCACCCCGCATTTATTACAGGAACATCTCTACCTGCAAGTTCACTGTGACACCTTCTTTCTTTATTGAAGTGTCCTATCCGGAAAGGATCTGGCATGGCTTCAGGCACCGAGGCATGCGACTCTTTGGAAGGGTTGGCCTGCTACAAGTACACGAAAGAAAACAAAGAATGAAACCAGTCAAGTCATGTCAAGTCCATACGGCAAAGCTGTCGGGATCTGCTTCTCTAGCAAACCTTTTGGTGGCTCTTTTATGCTCTTTTGGGGTCACTGTTTGGTGTCAGGAAAGCTTATTGCTTGTCTGCTTGCTTGAAGTGCAGCAGCTTCTTACTTTATGTTGGTATCGGGAGCCTGTGGTCCCCTGTTGAGGGTCCAAACACATTCTTTGGGAATTGCTCCTTGTATGTCACTTACCCCTTCTTCAAACTGTGGTTCTTGGGCAGTAGGCTTGAAGCCAGCTGAGCTGTCAGCCCATGTGCACTCCCACTTACTATATGACATAGAAGTGAACAAAAACACTGTGCGTAGAGCGAAATTGTCTTCCAGGAGTCTGTTTTCCACCTCCATGTCAGTGAGTCAGAGTGTGATATTCTATTTTAATCTATTTTACACCATGTCGTCATGTCGTATCCACACCACACCCAACCGTCCCAATGCCCCTAGAGACTGTGTTCCCTGGCGCCCGTGAAGAACTTGGACCGTGCAATGAATGCGCGTGGCACATCGGTGCTGCTGGTGTCGCTGCTGCTCTTGCCAGTGTCTGGCGTGAGAAGGTGTCAGCGCACCGAAGGAGACCGAAGGTGAAAGCTCAACAGGTTGGTATTTGCATGTCTTTCGCTTTCCTCTCTACCATTACATGTCTTAACATGTCTTACCTGTTTCTTTCGCTTTACATGTCTTTCCCTTTCCTCCAGCGCAAATGCTTTCTCGTGCCATGTCTTTCCATTTGCCCTTGGGGTCCTTTGCCATTGGCAAAATGGTCGGTCCGGCGGGTCTTCGGTCGGGTCGTTTGACGATGGCCATCCATGGGGGGTGACGAATGGCGATGGATCCGCTGAGTTTCCTGTGACGATGGTGACGCTGAGTTTCCTGTGCAGCGGCAGCAAGTCCTTCAATGCAAACACATACACACATACACCACATGTCCAAAACAATGATGTCCTGAGAAAAGAAAGAGGGGTGTACCATTCACGCATGAACCAAGGCCACAAAAGGCCATGATAACATGCCCAGACTTTAAACCACGCTTGTGTGCGTGAGCCGCTGTTGCTCTCACAACCCTGGAAGCATGGTTCATTGAAAAGCAGTGGGGATCCCGGCAGTAGCGGGAACCAAAAAAAACATGATGGGCATTGAGTCTTCACACACAGGTGCCTGGCCAAATCTCTCCATTGACGCTACTATTTGTGCTGTTGCTAGCTATACTGTATATATATATATTATGTTGATAAAATGTTTCTGGACATCTCCTCAGGGTTTCTGGGCATCCCTCGGCATCTCTTCAACAGGAATTGACCTTATGAGGGTGGAATCTCCATCTTCCACCTCTCTAACCCCGTCATAAAACGCGCCTGGCTTTTCGAGCACCTCCCCTGGCTAGCGCAAGCAGCTGTCGTAAACACCCAGGTAAGAAGAAAACGACTCAAAGGGATGAAACGCCAATCCCTGGCTCATTCGCGGTTGCCTCTTAGAAGCAGCGAGTACAATTTGGAGTGTGACTGAAGAATCGTGGACAACCTTAGGGAACACAAGAACGCTTACACTGAGGAAAACACATGCAGAACCGAAGCATGAGAAAGCCCGTTGTATTCAACCCTGGAAAGCAAAGTACATATCACTGAGAGGTCAGTCACCAAACTGAGAGCTCCCGAACATCACCCGGAATCGCACGAAATGGGTAGGGGACAACTGTGCAATCATATGAAATTGCATGAAATGAACACATAAAATAACTTTAAAATGAATAATCCTGATAAAATCTGGCTCTTTCACACACGCACACACCTGATTCTGGAAAAGGCTAGTTCATGAATCACACCAGTCACTACGACTGTGAATGCTTGGCTCATCAAGAAGAAGACCTGTATACAGACCATTCACAGGTTTCGTGGATGGTTTATTTCAACCCGGTGCCGTGATTTCCTGGTGAGTTGGAATGACAAAACAGGGGGTCTCCCCCTGAGCGAGTTGAACCGCCCATGAATAGGACATAATTTCTAGATTCTAGCCCATCATAACATGTGAGAAGCAAACCAGCGACCGTTCAAATCACAAGAAGCTCCTGCATAGCAGGGCGCGTCATAGCAGGGCCCTTCCTGTCGATTCCGAATCATCCCCCTCGCGCCTGGGGGGGGATGATAGGCCGGCCCACCCGGCGAGCAATTGAAGCGCGCCAGTCGAAGGGCGCAGGCCTGAAGATGGTGGGGTGACTTTGACACCAAGTGATCCTTTACAGAAGTATCTGTAGGACCTCACCAGAACTCAAGCTGTTTGGCCAATGTGAGTGAGCTGGACTGAAGTTAGCTGTTGCCCTGACACAGGACCTCACGGTGATTCTCAACACCCGAGCCATGCTGAAAACCTTGATAGATTCCTATGTCGTAAGAACTGCCTTACGCGAAAACTTACGCGGCGCTTACGCGACCGCAGTTTCAGCTTACGCGGGGGTGTTGCTTACGCCGCTGCTTACGCCACCTTACGCCATTGCAGGCTTTGCTTACGCAGCATCGATATGACATAACCTGGAAATGTCTGGCTTACGCGAAAGCTTACGCAGAGCTTACGCGACCGCAGTTTTAGCTTACGCGGGGGGAAGTTTTCAGCGTGGCTCACCCACTCTGAACATGATCATGAATCGTGAGTGTGTTTGAATGTATATTATATGTCCGTGTCCCGAAAGGCGACGATGTGCACTTCAATAGAGGGGGTACAATATGGAGATATTGAAGTGTCTGTGTTCTGTGTCGGACCTGATGCGCCTTTCTTCAGGTTCCAGATACCAGAAAACCGGTGTTCGTGTCACCCGGACCGGGATGACCAGGGATGGGTCGATGTCCTTTCCCATGCTATATTTTTTGGGGCCTCGTTTTGTTTGTTAGAAACTCTGCAAGGCTTCCCTTGTTGTTTGTTGTTGCTGTGCTCTGTTGTCATTGGGTGTCTTCCGTTGATTAGGAAAACATGCCCCTACACCGGCCTACACCTTTCCACTCCCTTCCTCGTCGGAGCACAGACGTGCAGCCTCTGGTGAAACATCCCGGTGCCACCTCGGTCCATTCGCACGGTCCCTCCGCTGCCCCGCCTGGCAGAAAAGGACGCAAGAGGCCCAAAGGCCGACATCCCAAGCGTCGCCTAAAGCGGCCGTCGGACTTGGTGACGGCCAAAAATCAGGCTAGGGAGTAGAGGACTTGAACTATACATGTTTTGCATGAGTTTGATGTTTATTTAGATGTTCCTTCATATTAATTGGACCAAAACCATTCGATTTGATCTCAAGTGGTTCTTCCTTCTTGGTCGCCTGCCGTCCTGCCGTCCTGTGGCCCAACCCAACTCTCAAACCCTTTCGCCAGTGGAGCAGCGACATGATCCTGTCCACGACTGGGACCAGATCGTTTTTTGACTCGGTGAAGGAACTGAAGTGGTAAGGAGTTGGGGATCGTTTTTTTTCTGCTTTTCGGAGCCGGGGTTAGGGACTGGCAAGAGGGGGATCCTCTAGCAGGGGAATCCTTTTTAAAGGTATATATTATTTATTGTTTAATCTTTACTAATGAATAATATATGTTGCATTACTACTAGTAGCTTCTTGTTAATGTCAACCTAGGATTAGGGAACCCCCCCTATTAGTCTACCCAGCGTTCAGGCCCCAATAATAAACTAATTTGAACTACTAATTTCCACAATCACCACCCTCTAATAATTTTTTTTCTTGGCTGAACCCCCCCCCTATTAGTCAACCCCCTGTCCTGCCAGGAAAAATATGGATCTCATGATGAAAGGGAATTAGTATTTGGGCTCTCATGGATCTCATCATTCCATCCCATCTCATCTCCTCCCCCTGTCATCATCAGGTCATCCCCACTATTAGGGGGATGTGATCTCCAAAACCTCCAATCTCAGACCTTGTTGACCTTGTTGACCTTCTAGGGGGGGGGGGCCCTTTATTAATCCGACGTTGACATTACTAGTAACAACAATGCCCTTGTTAGCCCTTGTTACTAGTAGCGATGCAGCTTGTTACTAGTAGCTAAGGTGCCTTGTTCCTCGTATTTCATTTGAAACATCTCCCCATCTCCGAACAGCATGCGCCAGCCGCAGGCTTCGCGCCTGCGTCGGAGCCGCGCTGCTGATCCGCCCAGGCGAACATCACCAAGGCTGGTGCAACGCCGAAGTTCACCAGGTCACCTCTGTCACTGTGATTCGAAGGCGCACCATGGGTCGAATTGGAGGAGATCATTGGAAGATTGCCATATATTGCCGTATATAGAGGACGAAGTACTTGAAGACCTACAACTTGAAGGTTCCTAGATTTGAAGCACTGACTGAACTTGGTAGATGCTGGGCCCCTCCATCGTCACACGCATGATCCTTTCCTTGTGGAAATACTTCACTGAGTTTACTGGGTTTACCCACTGTAATTACTACTTAAAAGTGTTTAAAGGTTGCTGCATTCTGCCTCAAACAGTCGCTCCATGTAAGATTCCAGACCCAACAATTTGGTTTTCAGGGTCGCGCGATGGCTCCATGGATTGTGGGGGCATCAAAGAAAGTTCCAGCCTTGCAAACGAATACACTTCTCTTCATGGTAGACACAGGTAGGATGGCACCTAGTGGGTAACTTGAGTCCCACCTTGAAAATGAAACCCCATGGGGAGACGCTGTCCTTTTTTCTTGCCGGAAAGGGCTCAAATCGATGGACTTCTTTTCAGAGTTAGTGAAGTGAGACTTGAAACTTGACCAGTACAGTGCAGATTCAATGTCGAGACCCCCAACATTGCCCAGAAAACAATGGTTGGGGGGGTCGATCTATTCAAACACACACCAAAAACGATTTCCTTATATAGATTGGCTGGGACAAGCCAGCACTTTGTAACCCACCCTGAATTCATGTTGGTGTAACAACAAGCTCAGACCTTACTCAAGTCACAATCCGAAGATCAGAGCCTCCAAGAAGCCAATTGGACAGGGATGGTGGCCATACCGCTCTTTCATGCGCATGGATCCCCCTTTCAACAACTGGCTCCATACCAACAGAAAGACAACCCGCACAGGTTCAAGCCATGGTCATCTCATTCTCATTCTGCTCTGTACGCCCTTTCCAAGCGGCCAAAGCTCCACATCTACATCTGGTTCACTGCCTCAAAGATTCTTGAGTAGGTTGGAGGCCATCACTATTAGGTTGGAGGCCATCGCTGGTTCACGGCCTCACCTCACCAAAGATTCTTAAGGTCTCAAGGGTCAGCGAGTGGCAATGCTGGAAAAATGAACTGCAAACGTCTCCCTTCCGGATGGCTGGATTGAGACCCAATGCGTCGAAGGAACGCAGATCGGGTGAAACCGGTCCTTTCAACATGCCCTCAAATAGGCACCACGCTTGCTGCCATTGACCACCCTTCTTGTAGGCATAGATGGCCCCATTGTAGCTGATAGCATCTTGTTGAACTTTCGCCTCATGCATACCATTGAAGAGGATTAATGCCAACTGCCATCTCCCGGCCTTTTCACAAACAGAGATGGTCGTATTGTAAGTTATCAGAGTATGTTGAACTTTAGCCTTGGGCATTGCTTCAAAATAGATCAACGCTTGCTGCCATTGCCCTTCCTTCTCACAGGCGCTGATGATGGTGTTGTAGCCAACAACATCGGGCAAAACTTCTGACTCTATCATAGATTCAAATAGACTCAAAGCTAGCTGCCATTGCCAAGCCTTATCACAAGCAAGGATAGCAGCACTGTAGCTGATAACATCTGGCTCAATCTTGGCCTCGGGCATAGCCTCCAACAATTTCATTGCTTCGTACCAGCGTCTTCCGGTTTCACAGGCACTGATGGTCGCATTGTAGCTCAAAAGATTCGGACGAATCACCCCTTCCGCTCTCAGCATCACTTGAAAGACCTTCAACGCCAGTTGCCACTGCCCTCCCTTTTGACAGGCACTGATAGTGGCATTGTAGCTGATGACATCTGGGGGGGCTCTGGCCTTGGGCATCATCTCGAACAAAAATAAAGCTTGCTGCCATTGCCCACCCTTCTCACATGCACTTATCAACGCATTGTAGCTGATGACATATGGTTGGACTTTTTCTTTGGGCATCCGTTCAAACAATCTTAATGCTAGTTGGGTGTTTCTGCCCTTCTCACAGGCAGAGATGGCAGCGTTGAAGCTGATCACGTTGGTCTGAACTATCAGATCAAGCATCGCCACCAAACACTTGAAGGCTCTTCGCCATTCTCCTCCTTTCTCAAAGGCACTGATCGTAGTGCTGTAGCTAAACACATTTGGCTGAACAGTCGCCGGGGACATGGCAGAAAACAAGCTCAAGGCGCTCTTCCATTGTGTGCCTTTTGCACAGGAACTGATTGTTGCACTAGAAGTGATAACATTTGGCTCAATTGTTCCAGTCCGCATCACATCAAACAACTTCAAGGCTTCCTGCCATCGTTTTGACTCGGCATAGGATGAAATTGCCACCGTATACTGCGAGGCCTGGCTCTCAAGTGATGACTTGGTCAGAGGAATCAGCTCAGCTTCCGAACTTCGGATTGCAGGCTCAAGCTTCGCGTTCTCAGCGTTTCTCCTCATGAGATCTACGCAGCGGAAGCGCCAGCCGAGTGCTCTGCACTCGACAGCGCCGGGGCGGCTGCGGCGACAGCGTGAGGTGCCGAATATCAGCGTCTGCGCTTGGTACTGTACGACTGTTCTGGATAGGTTGGAGATCTGGTTCCTAACACATAGATGGCTGTTTTTGGTCTCTTGAGTCTCTTGAATCTTCCACAAGTTCTCAAGATATGCAGGTAAAACATGTTCCTTCCTTGGAACCTTGCGTGCAGGGCAAGCACCCTTGAACACTTGAAACCTTTGGCCATTTTCTACGAGTACTAAATTCAAACAACACTTGCACCTCTCACCCAAACCTGACCTGGGTTGCAGCAGGCCATCCTACAACCTTTCTCCGATCCCAAATTCAACAAACATAAAACATCACCGACATCCACACCAAATCGACCCACACCCAAATCCCTCCCCCATCACCTACACTCCCAAAAACATCCCAAAACAACCTCCTGTCCTGTCACCTCCCGGTCCTTCACCATGTCCACCATGTCCACCGGCACCGGGCCACCCACCGCGCTCCACCCACCGCCACCCTCACCGGTCCGAGGAGCCCAAGGAGTCCAATTCCCCACCGAAGACGCTCACCGCGTCCAACAACCTGCACGGCGAACGCGACTCGGACGGCGAACTGGGCGAACCCCCAGGGTACCGACGAGGTCGGGTTGGTCGGATAAGTGGGTGGGGGGGCTCTCACATATTGGGGGGGGATGGGGGGATGGGAGATCTGGTATTTAAGGTTCTTGGATTCTTGGCACATGTTTAGGATATGACGGGTCTGTCTGGATTGGGGTCTATGGGGTGTAGGGTATTTTGGGGGGAACAGGTAATATCAGGTATGTCGGGAGAAACCTCCAAGCTGCGAGTGAAGCGGAGGTGCATAGGTGGAAGCCATCTCCTGTATGAGTTGCCAAAACCCTTTGTGCCACCCAAACCTGCTTTATGCTCTGCACTGGTGGTTCGTCTTCCAGTTCAGCCTCCGAACCCGGTCCAGTTCACCGACGCCTGGCGACGTGACCATCCAAACCATCCAAGACCGCAGCTGCGATGATCAACCTGGACGTGTATTTCATGTGTGCGCACGGGTAGGCGCACGTGGGTCAGGTGTGATGGGCTACCTGTGGGTCACACATATGTATGTCTTTAGATAGTGACGGACAATCACTATATATACTGTATAATTATACAGTTCTATTACAAATATATGTATAAAACTATATTATGCATTATTATGCAAACTAGATATGGCATTCTTCCCTAGTGCTGGAGGCTTTCTTTTTGATCTTGGATCCAGACCCAGCTGCTGAGGACCACTGCTGAGCAAAGGCCACCCCTGTAGGCAGCAAAAGTGAGGTCGCAGCATTTGTTTTTTTTTGAAAAGCAAGGGAAAGGGATGAGGCCTGTCCTCCTGGTAGGACTTGAGTAGCAACTGCTAGGACTTCCGTTACAATCATGACAGTCTCCCGCTCAACCACCCCTACATCAAGCTCCGAAACCAGTCAAACATGTGGTCGTGGCCGCTGTACAAACTGCCACTGCTGGTTCTCTTCTCTTCAATCTTTTGGGTGATGCTTCAAACGCATGAATCTTTTAAAAGCAAAGCTTGGCTGAGATTCTAAAAGGCAGTTGCAATGCCCTGATTTCAGCAACCTATGTTGAAAAATATTGGAGCATCAACTGGATTCACAAACATGGAGTCCACAATTTACACAGAACAAATTGACATGAAATCCATCTGGAACCAAATACTCGAGGCTCGCCAAAATGTTCTTCCGGAAATTGTGCCCAGTGCTCAGTGAATCTGCCACTTCCCAAAATGGGATCCGACTTCGCAGCGGCTTCGTCCACTTCGACTTCGTGTCCTCGTTTTTAGGGTGCCGGGCGCATGGCGGTTAAACTGCAGGCGAGGGCGCCCAAGGTCAAAACCTCGATTTGGATGGTGGACAGGAGTTCTTTTCTTTCTGCTGAACAGAAAGGATGAACCACCGCACCCGAAGGGAAGTGTTCATGTCTTCACCACCAGGGCTTGAAGATAGCAGCTTCAGGATGGGTCAAATGGTACTTGACTTTTGGTTGGTGGATATGCTGATCGCCTTCGTGTTCTACCTAATTATAGTGTGCCTAATCAAAAAGCAATTACTATATATAGTTATAGAATATACATTACATATACTATAATAGAGAAGACATGAAAGACTCTGGAATCATCGAGTCATTGCATCAACTGAAAAGCAGGCCACCTGGAAGACCCCCCAGGTCGCACCGAACCGAGTGACCCTTGTGGCGCTGCGTCGCGTGGTGCGAGAAGGGTAGACCGTGAACCCAGGGGACGGAGGTTTTTTCTCGATCACACCAGCTATATAACCTTGGCATACCGTGACATGTGGCCTTGGACGGGGAACTTTGCAAGTCACGAGTCCCTGTCAGTGCGAAACTCCCTGCCAGTGAGGGGTTGAATCAGCATCATCTGCAGTCTGCAACCACCAAGGGTTCCCGCAAGTATGATACACGACTTCTGTGTTTCCTTGATCACCCTCTTCAGAAGCCGACCCGACCAATCACTCTGGGCACCCATGCACATAGTGGCCACAGTAATCGGTAAGACAAGGGCATAAGCATGTTGTTTTGGTCGCCGGCAAAAAGACAGCACGCATCTGGCAGGCTTGTGGAACTGGGGCTTGATCGGAACCGATGCTGATGCCGCCCCTGACGCACATCCGTGTACTACACGCTTTGACGTCCCAGGAACTGATGGGGCTGCCAAGCAAAGCCATCCTGGAGCACCAGACTTCACCTGGAAGCGTGCACGAAGAACCGTGGACAAAAACCGGCGGACTGGAGCCTTGTTTTTAAATGAACTTGGCTGTGTTGGTGACTCTTATGATCAATTGTGGATTGTGGCACCTGGTTGCAAGTTGCTCCAAGTGCACAAACTTCCAAGCTTTGACCAAAACCAGTATTGGCCCCCCCCAAGTAGAAAACACTTGTTACTTTTTAGCATGTTTTTCTCAACTTAAAAGCTTCAACGGTTGATAACATACCGCTTACGGGTGGTCCGAAATTGAATACAGTATTTCTTACAGCAGGTCAGTGCGAGAAGCATACCAGACCCTCTACAGTAAACCCACCCAAAACACCTCTCCGAGCACCTGTAGGGCCGTAGGTAGTTTTGGGATCCGTAAAATTGTCGAGTTGGGTTTGGTCAAGCATTGCAGCAGGCTTTCTTTACCCAAATGTCACTCACTCTAGTTTGACCAAACGGACCCCAACCTTTTTCTCTGGGTCCAACTCAACCCCTTTGAGTTTCACTCCCATTTCCGCCAAGGGGTATACAATGGTATACAGCTATCCCTAAATTCCTTGAACACTGTCAGCCACCTTCTCAACATCAGGGCCCAACCCAACCACCGGGGGCTTCATAAGGCGGAAAAGAAGAGAACACCGCACAGCATATGTACAAAAGCACCATCCACTTTGGATGGTTATTGAATTGATCAACCAATGGTCAACAGGGGTCAATCAATGGGCGGTGCTGGTACACAACTTGATCCTCCAACATGCAGAGGTATCCTTCAACATGTGTGTATTACTACTGGGGACCCAAAACGAAAAAGAAAAAAGACCGCAAAACGGCACGCCACAGCAGCCCCCTGGGCGCCACAGCGGCCTCCGTCATGTCGGAGGTCGCTGTAGGGTGCAGGAAGTGCACCAGCAAGTCTTAAAAGGGGCCGAAGGTCAGGCAGTTCCCAGCGAGAAGAAGTGATGAAACATGTTTGAACTGTGTTTGAAACGTCGGGATCCTTGAAGAATCAGTTCGATGATGACTTGTTGCATGATATAGCACAATTGTATAGAGTGTTTGGGGTATGGAGGACTATTGCATATTTATATTAACCTGGCATACATACCAGTCTGGGATGTATAGGTAAAGGATTAGACGACCGGAACATGAATGAGTGGATGAGTGGTGGATGCAAAAATGCCTTTAAGCGACTGGAAAATCTCTACTGTGCTGTGAGCCGAAAAGCAGCGGCCCAGCAGGGCTGCAGGTGAAATCCGCACCACTCACCACCAAAGCCTAGAGCTGCATTCATGCCAGAAACCTCTTCTATGGTCACCACTGAATGAATAGCCTCCAGATCACCACCAACCCGGCTTCCAGGATTCAGCTTCCAAGGAAAACACCCTGTCAGCCAAATCTTGTGCAAATCAACTTTCCCAGAACTTCCAATGACTCGTCTTACCATGTTTTACCCATCTGGTAGTCATGATCCACCGCTTGTTTAATCTTCTTATATTTCAGGAAAATGAAACCATACACCAGCAAACTGAAGGACTCCAATCACTGCCATCCACTTGCCACGCTTTTCTCCTTGCGCACCGAACTTGTCTCCCTTGCGCCCGGCCTCTCCTTGTCGCGTGTCGCGCGATGGACCAACGCGCACGAGGAGGCGCCGTTGAAGTGCCCCCCCCAGCGGCGGTCAGCGTCAGGATCCCCCCCAGGCGAGCAAAGAAGTCACAGAAGGTGAAGTCCTTGCCATGAGGTTCCAAGTAGCCTGCAGCCCAGAAGTCCCACCCACTCGCAGGCAATTTCCGCAGCAACTCGGTCAACTTCCCGGAGGTCATTGGGTTAGTTCGGGGACCAAACAAGTCGAAGAGCGAAATAACAACAGCCAACAAAAACACACCTCAAATGTCTAAAGTATATTATGTTTTTAGTAGATCTTCTTGGGCTTCTTTGTTTCTTTTTTCTCTCTCTCTCTCTCACCCTAGTCTCCCCCGAGTCCCCGTCAGTCCGGTCCTTTAAAACGCCCCCGCTGCCCGTCAGTCCCGTCTGCGCCTTCGAGGACGAAGAGGACCACGGGCAGCGCCGGCAGCGCCAGGTCCGCGCGACTCAACGGGTGCAGCGACGTTGAGTCGCCGCGCGCGTCAGCGAGCGTGCGAAAAGGGGCGAGCCTTGGGAGAGCGAGCGAGCGGAAACCAAAGAACCACATGTGTTATGGAGATCAGGGTTTAAATGGGCCCTCAAAAACCCATGTAAATCATGGTACATCAACATATTATTTTTATCCTGCATGATGTTCCCAGATTGGTCTGAAAGAGGCTATTCAGATCCGGAGAAATCAAAACGAACAGTCGGAACATTGTGGTCGGTCATTGCGTGGTGGGGAGAGACACTGGACATGCTCCCGGCCTTTCTCACATCTGGAAGTCAATAGGAAGCATATCCACTGACCTCCAAACTAAAAAAGCTCAGTGGCTGTCTAAGGCCTTTTAAAGGAGATCAATTGAGGGCCATGGTCTTGCTGTGTCGGGGATTACTGTATTCTCCAGAATGATCATTGGGATTCTTGATGTCTAGACTCTAGACTGCACACTTTCACCCATTGGAAGAACGTTCCACCTTTTCCATCAATGACTCGAGACTGCAGATTGACTGGCATGCCACGCACACATTGTTTTGATTTCTCTTGTCCATGCTTGGTGTGCATGGGGGATGCCAAGACATGTGACATGTGGGAGTGTATTATTTTCCCGTTCCCGGGCCAGGATGTTTGATTATGGGATATGCTTCAGGGTATGCTTCGCCTAAGTCGAACATGCCAACTCTGTGTAAACTGGACATGTCAAAAAGTACAATCCAATGTGACAATTCTGTGTGACCCTCGTTTCACGGTCCTCCGGATGACATCCTTCGAGATGCGACGCCAAGAGGAGCGGCCACAGAAGGCCCTTCGAGTATCTCTTCATCGCGGGCGTGAGCATGGATAGCTCCTGATGATGTCACGCACCCCTGGATGCGTGGGTAATCACTGAGTTATCACTGTGTAGACTACCCAGGCGGGGTCGGAACCTCCATTTTCTAAAAGGACATGCACACTCAGTGGCTCCAGGTCTTTCTTTTTGGTGCCAACCAGCAGGTCTGACCGCTGTCCTCCGGATCGAGATAGAGCAGTGCCAAGGCGATGCCGGACAGTGCCACCGCTAAAGACTTGGTTTTGAAGCTCATGAGCACCACTGAATCCAAAGAAAGGATCGAAGCAGCGGCCAGAATCAGCGCAGATTGAACACCCAAGTCCTGAGTTGCAACAACTGATTCAGTTTTCGGAGGTTCCTGCGAGATCTTCTAGTGAAGGACTGCAATCTGCAAGAGCAAAAGTAACAGGTAGCTCCATTTATACAATATAATATGTGTGTGTTGTACTTGAGTTGTTTAAAGGCTCAAAGGGCTCTCTTGTGCAATGCAACCCCACAGCAAGGAACTGCAAGACCAGCAACATTTGGTTTTATGCCCCACCAATATCCATCCCCACGACAAGGACATTGGCTTCTTAGGGCACGTTCGCCTACGCTGGCCCCCCCGAAGCTTGTGAGCTTTGCCATGTCCATTCTCAGTCCAACCTGTATCTCAGTCTCTCTAACCAGCATTGACCACCAAATCCATATCATCAAGTAGGTGGTTGGAAATAATTTCACGTGGGCAACCCCAAAGAAAAACAATGTGTTTCCACTACCAGTATATAAGCAAGACTACAGCGTAAACCTAACTTCCTTTGTGGGTATCTGTATAGCAGAGTTTTGCACACAGAAGTAATTAACGTGGTGATAAGGAAGTCAGTAGATTGGACTAGAGTTAATCAAAGCTTCAGACATTCTTGCATGTTCGGCACTTTTCAGTTTTCTGTATAATGTTGTTCACCCTGTAGAAACCCACTCAAACACATTTCCACCGGCCTGCGCCAAGAACGACGGCCCTGCCAGCATCGGCCATGCAGCAGCGCTCAAGGCGGCCAAAAGTACAGCAGCCATCGGTTGCCAAGAGGCCTGGACTAAGACGAAGTGACGTGGGCAAAAAAAAGGTTATCACCAAGGGGATTCACCCAGTTCGGGAAAATACAAATCACATCAAATCACCCTATCAGCAAAACCAGGAACATCTTGGGGAATCAGGTTGGACCGCTTGGACCTTTGGAGACCTGCTTCAGAAGCGGGGTCAAACTGAACAAAAGGTCAACCGGGAATCAAGTACATACCTGAAGAATCCTGAAGAACCCTAATGTACACTCTTCGATTTCTTGAATTGATGCTGTCAAACTGGCCACATACTCCTTTTCATACTCTATAGGGAACATATCCTGCAGCAAAAAGCAGTGCAAATGGAGCTGCTGAACAAAGAATTCCCAGCTGCTGAATGTTCGGAGACACGAGCTGAACAGGCTGGAGGACCTTTGAGGCCAAAAAAAGCATCAGCCGGTAGGGAATCTGTTGGAAGCTCCGTGCACACCTGGTTACCAGGGGTATGCTTGGAAGTGATAACATCGCCTCTTAAGTTTGCAGTTTGCTGAACAAAAATCAAACTCCTCCAAGACTGGAACCAACCTGCCGCTGTCCCGGGGGCCCTTCCCTTCATCCCGCTCATCCCTTCCCTTCCGTCCGGCCAGAAGCATCATTGGCAGCGTCGCAGCTATATACACCAGCTCTGTTCGGAGGCGCAGCAGGTGCCGGCAGTCTGAGGGCTGAGGTAGTTTTAGGCCGAGTACACTCTGAGCATATCGGAATAAGGGGTTTTCCAAATACAAACAAGAGGTTATCCAAGTGACATGTTGACTGTTGTAAAGCAACCCCGGCTTCCAGGACGGTTCTACAATGTTTTACATATCCATATATGGGGAATTTTACAGGTTAATGGTCAACATGAAACTCTGACGAACGCATCACATGGTTTAACAGTAGACAATCCCTTAGACTCTTAGACCTTCCTTGACATGAGGGAAACTATGCCATCGAGGACAGTTGGCTCGTGGCTCGTGTGCAACCCTTCATTCTGCCGACGATACCCAAAAGCTCGCTGAAGAAGCGCCGCTTGCGATGTCCCGAAAACCGCGCCTCGGCCAGCGAGCAAAAGCAACGGCTCATTGGCTTCGTGGAAGCAGCCGCGCCAGTCGTGGAACCACGCGCCCTTTGAGAAGACATTCACCGTGAGCCTCGAGTTCGAGCGCCCATGGACCAATGGATGAGGTCGGCGGTTGGAGTGAAACAACTCACTTTCTTATTGGGATGGGTGTGGATCCGAGAAATCTATGAACCATGCGCCGGTTTTTTTCTACATGTCAGGGCCCCAATCAATGCGCCAATGTGGATCCATATCCAAAGAACAATAGCGGCAATAACAACTTGCTATAATTTGCCCTCTTGCTGCAAAAAAGATATTTTCTCTAGTGCTCCTCCATTAAGAGTTTACATACTCGAGTCCAGTGTTGTTGCTGCTAAGTGACTCCTGTAGCTGGCGCGTGGCCAGCTGCCAAGCTCCGAGGATCAAAAGCAGTTGAAGGAAACGGATCAGGAGCACATGACTTGCCTCCCAACACGACACTTAGACCGGTCGCAACCACGGTGCTGGATCCATCAAACTGGCGGTCGCGTACGGTCCTCCCGTACACGGTGCCTTCAATGGATTCCAATTGTATCTCAGCTTCGGTCCTATGCTGGTATATATATATATATATAAAGCTTACATATATCGTAATCATCCATGAACACGAATGAACATTACATAAAAAATACGTAAAAACCATCAAAAACTGTTGTAAACCGCACTGTAAACCGCTTGGAGCGATGTGAACCCATCCTCTTTATCATGCGTGCTACCACAAGGACCCGGACCCGGACCAAAGCGGAGTACGACGGCTGTTCGACTCGTTGTTGTTGCGCCTGGGAGTGGACTCGTGCAACGAGACCCAAACGGAGGACTTGAAACGCCA